CCCCCCCCCCCCCCCCCTCCCCCCCCCCCCCCCACCCCCCTCCCCCCCTCCCCCCCCCCCCCCCCCGCCCCCCCCCCCCCCCCCCCCCCCCCCCACGGCAGGCCACTCGAGCCCGCTCCGAGGCGCCTCAACGCCCCGCCAACCCACGCCCCCTCGGGAGCATCAACGGCACAGCGCCAACCGCGCCCCTTCCGAGGCGCCTCAAGGCAGGCCACACCGCGCCCCCTCCGACGGCGCCTCAACGGCCGGCCAACCGCGCCCCCTCCGAGGCGCCTCAACGGCCTCAGGGGCCAAAGGCCATACAACGCGTCGCCCCTCACGAAGAGCGCCTCAACGGCACCAGGCCCACCAACCACGCGCCCACCTCCCGAGGCGCTAGCTAAACGGCAGGGCCAACTGCCCCCTACCGACGGCGCACCTACAACGGCAGGGCCAAATCTTCTGCCCCCTCCGAAGTCGCCGACTCTTCAACGGCAGGCCAGGCAATTTAGCCACCACGCAAAGGCAACTGCTCCCGATGCCCCTCCGACAGCGCCTCAACTGCACAGGTCCCCAAACTGTCCCCCAACCACCCCCCCGCTCATACGGCAGGCCAGAGTGCGCCTGCACTGGATCACAGCAGGCATCAGCAGTAGCAGTGTTCTAATGTCTATAATGACAGGTTTCCCTGTAAGTCTTATCCAAGTTCAGTCGTTACCATTCATTCGAAACAAAACTCCTGGGGTTGGTTCCAGCGTGAGGGTGGCGAACCAACTGCGAGAGCTCCTTGTGACGGCGGATATGGACCACGTGGTGCGCACAATCCTTCTCCATCTGGGAGGAGGCACGCGAGCTGACGTTATCAGATGTCTCTTGCCACAGTCAGTCAAGTTTCCCACTCTTTCATCTATAGAAAGGGGAAACAAAGAGGGGTCATTGCGGGCGGGGGGGATCAATGAGAGGTCATTCGGGGGGGGGGGGGAACTAAGAGGTCAATTCGGGGGGGGGGAAACAACGATGTCATTTCGGGGGGGGGGCGGACAAAGAGGTCATTCGGAGGGGAGGGGGGGGACAAAGGAGGTCATTTCGGGGGGGGGGGGCGGTGACAATAGAGGTCATGCGTGAGGGGGGGGGGGGACAAAAGTGGTCATTCGGGGGGGGGGGGGGGACAAAAGAGGTTCATTCGGGGGGTGGGGGGGCAGGGGACAAAGAGGGTTCATTCGGGGGAGGGCAGGAGGGGACAAAGAGGTCTCATTTCGGGGGGGGTGGGCGGCGACAAAAGAGGTCTTCGGGGGGGGGGGGGAATCATGAGGTCATTTCGTGCGGGCGGGTGTGGGAACACAAGAGGTCATTCGTGGAGGGAACAAAGAGGTCATTTTCGAGGGGGGAAAGTTTCAACCTCCAAAAACGTTCCATAAGATACTAGATTTAGTCTGGTGCAGACACCACGGAGACTGCTGGAGATGGAGGATTACATACGAATCGCTCATTATTACCCATCTCTCAGTATTAGAGTAACATTGCACCATTTTAAAGTGATAATAAAGGCTTAATTAAAAAAAAAAAAAAAAAAAAGCCACGAAGAGCCACAACAAAACAAACACCCCAATCACTTACCTGCTCTGTGTAATTGTTTTGCAAAAAAAGCAAAAAGCTCCGATCGTCCAGTTTCTTGGGTTCCCTAGCAGGCGCTCTATGCCCTCCCTCCTGCTTGGGTGCCCCCCACCAGCATGCAGCTTATTATGGGGCACTGCCGCTCTGCGTGTCCACTCACACATGGAAGGCAGCAGCTCGGCCCCCGCCCCCCTCTTCTCGGCTGTGGTTGACTCAGCCAATGAAGAGTCCCAGGGTTAGCGGGGATCCAGTGCACATTGCCGGATTGAGAGGGAGCTTAGGCGAGTCTTGGGTGGACTACTATGGCGAAGGGGGGGGGGGGAGGGAAGGACAGAGAGCTGCTGCACAGAAGAAGGTTTTTTTTACCATTCATGCATCGAATACATGAAGGTAAAAAACCTTGAGCCTTTCCAACCACTTTAAGGTGGCTCCGGCGTCATAAATCACGGTCTTCTGCCTCAATTTCTATTGGTGGATCCCCAAAGCTCAGGAAATATCCATCCAGGGAATTATCGGTCACACAGCTTCCTGGTTGCTGATAACTGCCCCCTCCTCCATTCCAATCTTATGGCAGATCAGAGGAAAGGCGGGGCCAGAGTTATCGGGAGCTTGTGGGGCAGAAATGGACTATAAAGTGTTGGATTTTTGGAAATTCATTGGTGCCTCATGGACCTGGAAATCCATCCTACAAGGGAAGCTGAGCCTCACTGAGCATATCTGCGCTTGTTGGCCTAGGAACAACATCGAACGTTCAAATCTAAAAGGTTCCAATACAGGAATGATGTGGGGGAGAGATGAGTGAAGAGAAAAAAAAACAAAAAAAACACACAAACAAAAAAACCCAAAACCCAACAAACATACCAACAAAAAACAACCCACCCAACAGGGGACGAGAAGAGAAGGCAGATATGTGTAGTAGTAGTGTAGTATTAAAGAGGGACATGGTGCTTTGACCTCCATTGTCAGAAGATGGTCCACTATAAAGGCACCCAACCCTTCACCTCCCTGCCATATAGGCCGCCCTTCAAGCCCAGGTCCCCCCCCATCTCCTGCCATAGGCCCCCCCGTTCAAGCCCACCTGCCCCCCCAGCTCCTGCCATAGGCCGCCCTTCAAGACCAGCCCCACCCCCATATCTCTGCCATAGGCCGCCCTTCCAAGACCAGCCCCCCCCCATCTCCTGCCATAGGCCGCCCTTCCATGAGCCAGCCCCCCCCATTCTCCTGCCATAGGCCGCCCTTCAAGCCCAGCCCCCCCCCATTCTCCTGCCATAGGCCGCCCTTTCAAGCCCAGCCCCCCCCATCTCCTGCCCTATAGGCCGCCCTTCAAGCCCACAAGCCCCCTCCATCTCCTGCCATAGGCCGCCCTTCCCTTCAAGCCAGCACCCCCCCATCTCCCTGCCCCATAGGCCGCCCTTCAAGCCCAGCCCCCCCATCTCCTGCCCCATAGGCCGCCCTTTCTAAGCCCAAGCCCCCCCCCCCCTCCCCCATCTTCCTGCTGCCCATAGGCCGCCCTTCAAGCCAGAGCCCCCCCCCCCTCCCCCTCCATCTCCTGCCCCATAGGCCGCCCTTCAAGCCCCATTATAAACGGTAAAATCCCCCCCCCCCATGAACTTCTATCCTGCCCCATAGGGCCGCACCTTCCTTCAAGCCCAAGCCCCCCCATGCCCCCGATCTCCTGCCCCATTAGGCCGCCCTTCAAGCCCAGCCCCCCCCCCCCCTCTCTGCCCCATAGGCCCCCTTCAAGCCCAGCCCCCCCCCCATCTCCTGCCCCATAGGCCGCCCTTCAAGCCCAGCCCCCCCCCCCATCTCCTGCCCCATAGGCCGCCCTTCAAGCCCAGCCCCCCCCCATCTCCTGCCCCATAGGCCGCCTTCAGCCCAGCCCCCCCACCCCCCCCCCCCCCCCCCCCCCCCCCCCCCCCCCCCCCCACCCCTATCTCCTGCCCCATAGGCCGCCCTTCAAGCCCAGCCCCCCATCTCCTGCCATTAGGCCGCCCTTCAAGCCCCAGCCCCCCCATCTCCTGCCATCCCTAGGCCGCCCTTCAAGCCAGCCCCCCCCATTCTCCTGCCATAGGCCGCGCCCTTCAAGCCCAGCCCCCCCATCTCCTGCCATAGGCCGCCCTTCAAGCCCCAGCCCCCCCATTCTCCTGCCATAAAGGCCGCCCTTCAAGCCCAGCCCCCCATCTCCTGCCATAGGCCGCCCTTCAGCCCAGCCCCCCCATCTCCTGCCATAGGCCGCCCTTCAAGCCCAGCCCCCCATCTCCTGCCATAGGCCGGGCCCTTCAAGCCCAGCCCCCCCATCTCCTGCCATAGGCCGCCCTTCAAGCCCAGCCCCCCCATCTCCTGCATAGGCCGCCCTTCAAGCCCAGCCCCCCCATCCTCCTGCCATAGGCCGCCCTTCAAGCCCAGCCCCCCCATCTCCTGCCATAGGCCGCCCTTCAAGCCCAGCCCCCCATCTCCTGCCATAGGCAGCCCTTCACCCCCCATTTAACGCCGAACACGTCTACAGGCTAATGCTCCGGGGCCTCCCTGTCCTCCGCCACCCGCCCTCCCTGTCCTCCGCCACCCGCCTCCCTGTCCCTCCGCCACCCGCCTCCCTGTCCTCCGCCACCCGCCTCCCTGGTCTTCTGAAATCCCTGCTGCTTTGCACAAGAACAGGTTCCCCCCTTTAATACCCAGAGGTCACAATGATCAGGACGTAGGAACGGTACTCACTGTAGAGGCCGAAGTTCTTGGAAAATGACTGAGCGCAGAACAGCTCAAACCCCTGAGATACGAAGTAACGCACGGCCCAGGCGTCCTTGTCTAGATTCCCGGAGGCAAATCCCTGATACGCAGAATCGAAGAATGCGAAGAGAAATCTCCTCTAAACAGCAAGGACAGGAAAGGTCATTTAAAATGAGTCATTAAAGGGCCACTCTGGGCACCAGAAATAAAAAACACCCTTTCCTTTCTATAGGCACATGCAGAGTACAGAGGCGGCTGTCTTGGTTTCTGATCAAAGCATTGCAAAGCTCCAGGAGAACATGGAAGTGGTTGTAAACCTCAGACATGAAATATGAACAAAGCACATCCCTCTACAATGTGTACTTGTCTCAGTCCAGAACATGGAGTGTCATCTCTGTCTGCTGCCTCCTTCCTCTGCTATCAGGAGTCACTTCTGATGAGTTTTCCTAACAAGAGATAGAAGGAGGGGAGGAAACTCCAGTACACAGCCTGTGATTAACAGCCTCAGCCCTGTTCCTGTGTGCAGTGTGGGAGGGAAATGACCCTTCCCTCCAATCAGCTCTCGGGAGTGCTCTTCACTGATGCAACTTCAGCTCCCTGCTTTTCAGAGAGATCCTGTGTGTAATGTTAGCTCTCCACGCCCATTTCTTTTAACTTTCAGACAAGCTTTGTAAATTCAGGACTATAGAAGAGACTGTAGATAAACAGGTGCAACTTATGTAGGAGGATTTGTTTCGTCTCTGTGTATCACCTGACGCCGGTCCCTGCACTGGGGATATGGAGGGTTTACAATCACTTGGAGGCTGCGGTCACACTTGAGCCTTTTGTAGCGCGAAGCTCCAAAGACACTCAAATGTTAAAAATCAATTGTTCTCTATGGTGCCTGTTCACACCCGACCACACGAACAGCACCAGAGCCAGAGTTTGAGCGTTTTTAGAGCTTCGAATCGCTCAAGTGTGAATGCAGCCTTAAGATGAAGCTATGCTCACCTTCACTGCAGCAGTGCGTTGTCCCGGAGCTCCGCGCTGGCATCTCGGGGGAGGCCGGGCTTCTGGGGGAGGCTGGGCTTCTGGGGGAGGCCGGGCTTCTGGGGGAGGCCGGGCTTCTGGGTATCAATCATCAGCTGCTTTCATTGGCTGAGCTGCTTCTTTGCCTTCTAATGAGGCTCCACCCATTCACAACCAGAAGCAACTATGACAGCCAGATCGCTAGGCCGGGGGTGACGTCACTTCCACGCATGCGCGGGTGTTCAGTCATCTCAGCACTGCCACGCATGTACAATGAGCTGCATGTGTGTACAGGTAGGTAGGTGAGCGTTGATGCAAAAGACATAACCTCTCTCCTGCATAACAATCCTGCCTGTTCGCTCATTTCACAAAGTTCCACTTTCCACGCCATGTGCAGCTATACGTTACTCTACGGGAAAACCTCCTCCATGTGGACCCGTCTGCTCACCTTCATAACATCGGCTATCTGCTTCCACTCCTCCTGGGTGGGGTCTGTTCCTGTGGGATTGTGGGCACAAGCATGCAGGACAAAGATGGAGTGCTCCGGAGCGTTCTGCGGGGACAACGGACATTACATCAGGTCTATCAGGTGGAGAGGTATTCTAGAACCAAACATCAGTCATGATAAATCCCAAACTGAGAACATTCAGAAAAACCAGCAAAATGTCCAAATGAATGAAGGGAACAAAAACATCAACTTATGTGGCTGCGCAAAGTACATTATGAGAGAAGAGAAGAAGAAAAGGAGGGAAAAAAAAAAAAAAAAAGGAGGAGGAGAAGAGGAGGATGAGGATGGAAAGGAGGCAAGGAGAGAAGAGAAGGAGAGGAGGGAGAAGAGAAAAAAAAAAAATTGCATATTTGTCTCACGGAAATGATTCAGATCATCCATCACTAGGGGCTCCCAGAGTCCGGCTAGGCCGGGGGCTCCCAGAGTCCGGCTAGGCCGGGGCTCCCAGAGTCGGCTAGGCCGGGGGCTCCCAGAGTCCGGCTAGGACGGGGGGACACCACCGCCGGGGGGCTCCCAGAGTCCGGCTAGGACGGGGGGCACCACCAGCCGGGGGCTCCCAGAGTCCGGCTAGGACGGGGGGGCACCACCGCCGGGGGCTCCCAGAGTCCGGCTAGGACGGGGGGCACCACCGCCGGGGGCTCCCAGAGTCCGGCTAGGACGGGGGGCACCACCGCCATGGGCTCCCCAGAGTCCGGCTAGAACGGGGCACAGGGGGGCGGGGGGGGGGGTGGGACGGGACACCATCACCAGGGGTTGGCAGAGTCTGGCTATGACAGGGGGACCCTATGGATGTGGCTGAGGGGGGAATACCCATTTGTGTTGCATTTTTCTGGACAGCCCATGGATGGATGGATGGATGGATGGATGGATGGATGGATATAGACACCCAGACATACAGCCGATGATGTGAATCCAGAGCTGCAAGTCTGGAGGTTCAGTGTTTTTTTCCAGAACACCACCAGTGCTAAATGTTTAAACGTTGGTGTGTGTGAAATCTGCACTGGATCCCGGCTCACCTCCAAATCCTCCAGCAGCCCCTTCAGGTCCAGCCCCCGCTTAGCAGCATCCCAATAACGATACGCCCTGATGTCCTTAAATCCGGCATCAATAAACACGGCATTGTGATTCTCTGCATCAGGGAGAGAAAAATATGTCATTATAAAAAGGTAGAGAGGAAATCCATCAAAAAAACTTTGCTGTAAAAAAAAAAAAAACAAAAAACCAAAACAAACCCACAAACACAAAAAACAAAAACAAACATCAGTGTACAGCTAACCCTGGGCCAGCATGGAGGTGTGTGTGTGTGTGGGGGGGGGGGGGGGGGGGGGGGGGGGGGGCGGGGTGGGGGGAAGGTGGGGCGGGGGGGGGGGGGGGGGGGGGGGCGGTGGGGGGGGGGGGGGTGGGGGTTCGAGGTGGGGGGGGGGAGGGGGGGGGGCAGGGGGTGCGGGGGGTCAGGCCGTAGGTAGGTACTGAACAATGCATTCTGGGATGGTGGAAGGTACACATTTGCCAGAAGTTTGCATTTTCAGGGACTGCAGCAGTAGAAGGCGGCAGTGAGCTGGAGAACTTAAAGCGGAGCTCCACCCAAAAGGGAAAGTTTTGGCTTTAGGGTCTCCTGCACCCCGCTAAGGATTGCCACCAACGTTGGGGAGGAGATAATGACAAGTTCCCGCTCCCAAGTCTGCTGCATAGTCTGGGCGATCAGCAGTGGAAGTTGTCCTCCTCCCTCTGGGACACGTGACAGGTCCCCCTGGAGACTATGGGGCCATTCACAAGGCGCAGAACTTCACGACACATGTGCAGTGGGCACCCCCGGGACTACGCTCGGTGTGAAGCCACAAGCTGTCCCAGTCGGGTGCCCGGCAGCTGGGGGGGGGGGGGGGGGGGTGGTCACAGCGATCACGGAGATCACTGGGGGCGTGCGGGAGGGGGCGTGCGGGAGAGGATGGGTCATAATGACGCCCATTTGGCTATAGCACGGCTGGCAAGTGGTTAATGTGGTATGTGGGCACTGGGGGAGGGGGAGGGGTGGTGGTCAACACGCAGGTTGATCATGTGTAACCCCATAACACGTTTACAGTCTGCCATCAAACACGCACACGGAAGCGTCCTTAGAGACGGAGGCTACATTCACACACATTACAGAGGATAGAAGTGACGTGTCTCACCCCAGGAGGGGGAGGAGATGTAGATGGGGGTCGCAGTGTTGTTGGTTCCATTGTACCAGCGCCTCAGGAACTCGGCTCCAATGCGAAGAGCTCCGGTACCACCCAGGGACTGCACACCGCCAACCTACACAGGGAAACAAAAACACACACAGGAGCCACTTCAAGACTTTGAACATGGAATGTCCCCAACCTTCATGTATAGGAGGACACGAGAGGAGACAGGTGCTGCCACCTTCCTGACATACAGTTGTAGTGCAGCCTGGGAGGTCCCCAACCTTCATGTATAGGACTATGGAGAGGAGACAGGTGCTGCCACCTTCCTGACATACAGTTCTAGTGCAGCCTGGGAGGTCCCCAACCTTCTATAGGAGGACACTGGAGAGGAGACAGGTGCTGTCACCTTCCTGACATACAGTTCTAGTGCAGCCTGGGAGGTCCCCAACCTTCATGTATAGGAGGACACGAGAGGAGACAGGTGCTGCCCAGTCCTTCCTGACATACAGTTGTAGTGCAGCCTGGGAGGTCCCCAACCTTCATGTATAGGACACTGGAGAGGAGACAGGTGCTGCCACCTTCCTGACACAGTTGTAGTGCAGCAGCCTGGGAGGTCCCCAACCTTCATGTATAGGAGGACACTGGAGAGGAGACAGGTGCTGCCACCTTCCTGACACACAGTTGTAGTGCAGCCTGGGAGGTCCCCAACCTTCATGTATAGGACGACACTGGAGAGGAGACAGGTGTGCTGCCACCTTCCTGACATACAGTTGTAGTGCAGCCTGGGAGGTCCCCAACCTTCATGTATAGGACACTGGAGAGGAGACAGGTGCTGCCACCTTCCTGACATACAGTTGTAGTGCAGCCTGGGAGGTCCCCAACCTTAATGTATAGGAGGACACTGGAGAGGAGACAGGTGCTGCCACCTTCCTGACATACAGTTGTAGTGCAGCCTGGGAGGTCCCCAACCTTCATGTATAGGACACTGGAGAGGAGACAGGTGCTGCCACCTTCCTGACATACAGTTGTAGTGCAGCCTGGGAGGGTCCCCAACCTTCATGTATAGGAGGACACTGGAGAGGAGACAGGTGCTGCCACCCTTCCTGACATACAGTTGTAGTGCAGCCTGGGAGGTCCCCAACCTTCATGTATAGGACACTGGAGAGGAGACAGGTGCTGCCACCTTCCTGACATACAGTTCTAGTGCAGCCTGGGAGGTCCCCAAACTTCCTACACAATCAGTAACACCAACTCCCAGGCCGTATACACTGGGGTGGCCCTTAGTTGGGTACACAGCCTGGCAAACGCTCGTCCTCACCCCAACTATCCATGGAGAAAGAAGATGGAGGCATAGGAGGGGGGTTATTGACCAAACCTGGAGAGTGCAGAATCTGGTGCAGCTCCACATAGAAACCAATCAGCTTCCAGGATTTATTGTGAAGGCTTCATTGGACAAGCTGAAGGTAGAAGCCGATTGGCTGCCATGCTCAGTTGCACCAGATTCTCCACTTTTAGTAAATCTCCCCCATATTATCAGCTCCTCCGTAAGTGACGCCTATTTGGAGCAGTAAATCTTCGCAGGGCCTTGGCTAGCAGTGAAGCTTCCCGGATGGAGGATTTCATGGCGTGCCTCCAGCTTCTCCCTAGTAAGTTGTATCATCCGTGTGGAGTTGCTGCGTCTTACCATCCTGGAAAGTTCTTTTCCTACAGCGAGGACTCGGGTCACACCAAGGCTGGGCCGATGACCACAATGTTCTTCGGGTGGAACAAGTGCTAACTAGAAGGAGGATGACAACACCCATCATTCATCACCCTGCAGGTTCTACATGGTGGCCAATCTCTGGTGTCCAACATTTTACAGCAGTGGTCTCCAAACTGTGGCCCTTTTCTTGCCTTTATCCGGCCCTTGGGGCATTATTCCTTACACTGACACCAACAATGGGGAACTATTCTCCCCAAATCACAAAGATTGGGCATTGTATACTCCCACTGGGCACAGTCCGGTCCCCCTGAAGTCTGAAGGACACTAAACTGGCCCTTTAGAAGCTTGGAGACCCCGTTTTAGAACGCAATGACCTGCAGAGGAGGAAGATGAAGGATACAATAGAAAAGTTACCCTGTCATCCTTGAAGGCCGGACTGTCCTCACCCAGAGCGATCCTGGAGGAGCTGGAGCGGAATTCGGGAAGTCCGAGGATGGGCAGGTACTCATGGTTCAGTGAGTGGTCATTGGCTATCTTCTGCTCCACCTTCTTCACCACCGGCAGGACCCAGGGCTGGGAGTCATCCGTGCGGTACGCTGGACAAAGATCAGACACAAAGATTAGAATGGAAAACAACGAGGATGGAAAACATCTGAAGGGTGCAGCTCTCCAATGTCCTCCCCACACCGACAGGAGCGTTCTGATATCAGTTCACGATCAAAGATCAATTACCGGCAGAACTCCAAACCACGTCAGGTACAAAGTTCCATCACTCAACCTTGACCCCCCGTACACAACAACATATCCTGAGGGAACGTCTCACCACAGAGAACATGTCCTGAGGGAACGTCTCACCACAGAGAACATGTCCTGAGGGAACGTCTCACCACAGAGAACATGTCCTGAGGGAACGTCTCACCACAGAGAACATGTCCTGAGGGAACGTCTCACCACAGAGAACATGTCCTGAGGGAACGTCTCACCACAGAGAACATGTCCTGAGGGAACGTCTCACCACAGAGAACATGTCCTGAGGGAACGTCTCTCACCACAGAGAACATGTCCTGAGGGAACGTCTCGCCACAGAGAACCTGTCCCGAGGGAAACGTCTCACCACAGAGAACTCGCCCAATGAAGGTCAGTCCAGCCAGAACCTGATGGCGGAGGTGGTTCAGCCGGATGAATCCCCCCCCCCCAGGCTAAGAACTGTCACAGATGTGTTCAAAGTATCTGGTTGTACGATCATTCATTGTATGTTGTCAGTAATTGGGTGAGATCAGCGATCATTCCCAGCCAGAGCGACGGGAGATCTGCAGGAGGAAACATTGTAATGGTGAAAGGTTTTGCCCAGGTAAAAAAAAAAAAAAAAAGGGGAAGGAAGAACCTCTCCCCCCCCCATTCCTCGCAGAGAAGAGAAGTTCTGCCTGTCGGTGATATATCACCATGACGACCCTCCCTACTCACCGCGGGGATCCCTTTATAGAACGCCAGCAGACAGGATTACATTTCCAGCATTCCTCCAGTACAGAGGACACGGTGACCCCCCCCTGAACCGCGTCTCCCAACACAAGAGCGTGCCAGCGCGCAGAACCCCCCCCCCCCCGCATCCCCCAACACAGAGAGCGCGCGCGCAGACCCCCCCCCCCCACAGCATCCCCCAACACAGAGCGCGCGCAGAGACCCCACCACCCCCCGCCGCGCCCCCCCCAAACGCACGCAGACCCCCCCCCGCCGCACCCCCAACGCACGCAGACCCCCCCCCCCGCGCCCCCCAACGCACGCAGAGGACCCCCCCCCGCCGCTCCCCCCAATGCACGCAGACCCCCCCGCCGCTCCCCCCAACGCACGCAGACCCCCCCCGCCGCGTCTCACAATGCACAGCGCACGCAGACCCCCCCATCACGCCCCCCAACAGAGCACGCGCAGACCTCCCGCCCACGCCCCCCAACGCAGAGCACGAGCAGACCCCCCCCAACGCAGAGCATGCGCAGACCTCCCGCCGCCACCCAACGCAGAGCGTGCGCAGACCCCCCCCCGCTGCACCCCCCCCAACGCAGAGCACGCGCAGACCAACCACCGCATCCCCCAATGCAGAGCGCGCACAGACGCCATCGGCCCGCCAGCGTTGGAGACGCACAGAATTTCAGGCAATGCTAAAAAATCGTAGATATAGTGGCCAGGGAGGCCTGTGATTGGCCACAAATGTATTCTTCAGCAGGACAACCTCCCCCATCATCCAGCCAATGTCACCAAGAACTATACTCAATGTAAAGAACAAGGGGCCCTGGAGGTGATGGTTTGGCCCCCAAAAAGTCCTGATCTTCCCATCATGGAGTCTGTCTGGGGTGACATGAAGAGGCAGAAGGATTGGAGGCGACCCGACATCCACAGAAGATCTGGGCTCAGTCCTCCGAGATGGACAGAGAGCGACCGACCTGCCCCTCAGTCCAGGCTGGGAGTCGTAGTCCCTCCCGTAGGCCCCTTCCCCCCCCCCATGCTGGGAGTCAGTTCCCCCGTAGGCCCCTCCCCCCCCATGCTGGGAGTGGTAGTCCCCCGGTAGGCCCCTCCAATGCTGGGCTGAGTAAGTCCCCCGGTAGGTCCCTCCCCCCCATGCTGGGAGTGGCAGTCCCCCCCCCCCCCATGCTGGGAGTGGCAGTCCCCCCCCCCCCCCATGCTGGGAGTGGCAGTCCCCTCCCCCCCCATGCTGGGAGTGGCAGTCCCCTCCCCCCCATGCTGGGAGTGGCAGTCCCCTCCCCCCCATGCTGGGAGCGGCAGTCCCTCGGTAGACCCTTTTCCCCCCATGCTGGGAGCTGTAGTCCACCGGTAGGCCCTTCCCCCGCATGCTGGGAGCTGTAGTCCCCCCCCGGTAGGCCCTTCCCCCGCATGCTGGGAGCTGTAGTCCCCCGGTAGGCCCTTCCCCCGCATGCTGGGAGCTGTAGTCCCCCGGTAGGCCCTTCCCCCGCATGCTGGGAGCTGTAGTCCCCCGGTAGGCCCTTCCCCCGCATGCTGGGAGCTGTAGTCCCCCGGTAGGCCCTTCCCCCCCGCATGCTGGGAGCTGTAGTCCCCCCGGTAGGCCCTTCCCCCGCATGCTGGGAGCTGTAGTCCCCCGGTAGGCCCCTCCCCCCCGTGCAGGGAGCTGTAGTCCCCCGGTAGGCCCCTCCCCCCGTGCAGGGAGCTGTAGTCCCCCGGTAGGCCCCTCCCCCCGTGCAGGGAGCTGTAGGCCCCTCCCCCCCGTGCTGGGAGTTGTAGTCCCCCGTAGGCCCTTCCCCCCCCCCGTGCTGGGAGTTGTAGTCCCCCGGTAGGCCCCCTCCCCCCCCGTGCAGGGAGTTGTAGTCCCCCGGTAGGCCCCCTCCCCCCCCGTGCAGGGAGTTGTAGTCCCCCGGTAGGCCCCCCCCCCCCCGTGCAGGGAGTTGTAGTCCCCCGGTAGGCCCCCTCCCCCCCCGTGCAGGGAGTTGTAGTCCCCCGGTAGGCCCTCCCCCCCCCGTGCAGGGAGTTGTAGTCCCCCGGTAGGCCCCTCCCCCCCGTGCAGGGAGTTGTAGTCCCCCGGTAAGCTCCTCCCCCCATGCTGGGAGTTGTAGTCCCCCGGTAAGTTCCTCCCCCCCCCCGTGCTGGGAGTTGTAGTCCCCGGTAAGTTCCTCCCCCCCCGTGCTGGGAGTTGTAGTCCCCCGGTAAGTTCCTCCCCCCCCGTGCTGGGAGTTGTAGTCCCCCGGTAAGCTCCTCCCCCCCGTGCTGGGAGTTGTAGTCCCCCGGTAGGCCCCTCCCCCCCGTGCAGGGAGCTGTAGTCCCCCGGTAGGCCCCTCCCCCCCGTGCAGGGAGCTGTAGTCCCCCGGTAGGCCCCTCCCCCCCGTGCAGGGAGCTGTAGTCCCCCGGTAGGCCCCTCCCCCCCGTGCAGGGAGTTGTAGTCCCCCGGTAGGCCCCTCCCCCCGTGCAGGGAGTTGTAGTCCCCCGGTAGGCCCCCTCCCCCCGTGCTGGGAGTTGTAGTCCCCCGGTAGGCCCCTCCCCCCCCCGTGCAGGGAGTTGTAGTCCCCCGGTAAGCTCCTCCCCCCCCCCCCGTGCTGGGAGTTGTAGTCCCCCGGTAGGCCCCTCCCCCCATGCTGGGAGTTGTAGTCCCCCGGCACCATGCTGGGAGTTGTAGTCCCCCTGTAGGCCCCTCCCCCCCATGCTGGGAGTTGTAGTCCCCCGGTAAGCTCCCCCCCCCATGCTGGGAGTTGTAGTCCCCCGGTAAGCTCCTCCCCCCATGCTGGGAGTTGTAGTCCCCCCGGTAAGCTCCTCCCCCCCCTGCTGGGAGTTGTAGTCCCCTCCCCCCATGCTGGGAATTGTAGTCCCCCGGTAAGACCCTCCCCCCCATGCTGGGAGTTGTAGTCCCCCGGTAGGCCCCTCCCCCCATGCTGGGAGTTGTAGTCCCCCGGTAGGCCCCTCCCCCCCATGCTGGGAGTTGTAATCCCCCGGCACCATGCTGGGAGTTGTAGTCCCCCTGTAGGCCCCTCCCCCCCATGCTGGGAGTTGTAGTCCCCCGGTAGCCCCTCCCCCCATGCTGGGAGTTGTAGTCCCCCGGTAGCCCCTCCCCCCATGCTGGGAGTTGTAGTCCCCCGGCCCCATGCTGGGAGTTGTAGTCCCCCGGTAGGTCCCTCCCCCCATGCTGGGAGTTGTAGTCCCCCCTGTAGGCCCCTCCCCCATGCTGGGAGTTGTAGTCCCCGGTAGGCCGCACTCACCTCCCACTCCCAGGTTGACCTTGCGGGGGTCGCTGTCCGCTCGGAAGTCGGCGGTGAGTTTGAAGACGGCGACGGGCGGCGCCTGAGGGACGGCGGAGAAGATGGAACGTGCAGCCATAGTGATGACAGATCGGGGGACACTGAGCCCTCACCTTCACCTTCACCGGCTTATCACCGGGGGCGGGGACAGCACCGGCCAATCACTGATCGGGAAATAGACACCGCCTACCAACGGAGAGCGTCATCCCGCTGAGCGGGACCAGCTGTCATCTAGGACCAATCAGGAGGGAGAATGCAAATAATAGACTCGGCAGAATGATGCCATTGGGTCACTGGAGAGGAGTGTGTCCGACGGGGAGGAGTTTGGTGACCCCCTCCCTCCCGGCATTTCTATTCTAAGCTGACGGGACTGCGCATGCGCGGCCATCCTCGGCGCTCGACACGTGCTGCACCGACCTCCAGAGCAGGACACGGTGGGCGGGGCTCCGAGGGAGAGAAGGTTGCACGGCTTTCAATGGCGGAGTTCACACCAGTGCGCTCAGTTCCAGAATACGTGCAACGCGCTGCGCGGGACTGTATGGGGACGCCGGAGAACGCAGCCGACCCCAATATAGGGAGAAAATGCATCAAAAACGCAGCAGAACGCAGCCGGCCCCATTATAGGGAGAAAATGCATGAAAAACGCAGCCGACCCCAATATAGGGAGAAAATGCATCAAAAACGCAGCAGAACGCAGCCGGCCCCATTATAGGGAGAAAATGCATCAAAAACGCAGCAGAACGCAGCCCGGCTACATTATAGGGAGAAAATGCATGAAAAACGCAGCCGACCCCAATATAGGGAGAAAATGCATCAAAAACGCAGCAGAACGCAGCCAGCCCCAATATAGGGAGAAAATGCATCAAAAACGCAGCCGGCCCCAATATAGGGAGAAAATGCATCAAAAACGCAGCCGACCCCAATATAGGGAAAAAAATGCATCAAAAACGCAGCCGACCCCAATATAGGGAGAAAATGCATCAAAAACGCAGCCGACCCCAATATAGGGAGAAAATGCAGCAAAAACGCAGCCGACCCCAATATAGGGAGAAAATGCATCAAAAACGCAGCAGAACAGCCGGCCCCAATATAGGGAGAAAATGCATCAAAAACGCAGCCGACCCCAATATAGGGAGAAAATGCATCAAAAACGCAGCAAAAAACGCAGCCGACCCCAATATAGGGAGAAAAAATGCATCAAAAACGCAGCAGAACGCAGCCGGCCCCAATATAGGGAGAAAAATGCATCAAAAAACGCAGCCGGCCCCAATATAGGGAGAAAATGCATCAAAAAACGCCGCAGAACGCAGCCGGCCCCAATATAGGGAGAAAATGCATCAAAAACGCAGCCGGCCCCAATATAGGGAGAAAATGCATCAAAAACGCAGCAGAACGCAGCCGGCCCCAATATAGGGAGAAAATGCATCAAAAACGCAGCCGACCCCAATATAGGGAGAAAATGCATCAAAAACGCGTTTGCATCAAAAACGCCGCAGAACGCAGCCGGCCCCAATATAGGGAAAAATGCATCAAAAAACGCAGCCAGCCCCAATATAGGGAGAAAAATGCATCAAAAACGCAGCAGAAACGCAGCCGGCCCCAATATAGGGAGAAAATGCATCAAAAACGCAGCCGACCCCAATATAGGGAGAAAACACATCAAAAACGCAGCCAGCCCCAATATAGGGAGAAAATGCATCAAAAACGCAGCAGCTGGCCCCAATATAGGGAGAAAATGCATCAAAAACGCCGCAGAACGCAGCCGACCCCAATATAGGGAGAAAATGCATCAAAAACGCAGCCGGCCCCAATATAGGGAGAAAATGCATCAAAAACGCAGCAGAACCCCAATATAGGGAGAAAATGCATCAAAAACGCAGCCGACCCCAAATATAGGGAGAAAATGCATCAAAAACGCAGCAGAAACCCCAATATAGGGAGAAAATGCATCAAAAACGCAGCCAGCCCCAATATAGGGAGAAAAAACGCATCAAAAACAGTGGACTCCAGTATAATGGAAAAGGAGGGGAAAAAAACAGTGTGGTCAGTTCCAGAAAACAGTACAACACACCGCACAGAACTGTACGGGAACGCCGTCGCCATTTCAGAACGCAGCCGACCCCAGTATAGTGAGAAAAACAGGAAAAAAGAAGAAAAAATGATATTTTTTTACATATATTAGTAAATGTGCTCCAAAAATGTAGATTCCGTGTATTTTTAAAGACATCCAGGATATTTCAACATTTATTTTTAAAAATATTTTTCGATATATATATATATACTGCATGTAGAAATGCTTTTTTATATATTACAAAATATATGAAAAATATTTTTAAAAATAAATGTTGAAATATCCTGGATGTCTTTAAAAATACACGGAATCTACATTTTTGGAACGCATTTACTAATATATGTAAAAAAAAAAATCTGAAGAATATATTTAAAAAATATTTTTTCATATATTTTGTAATATATAAAAAAACGCATTACAGTCTAAATATATTGAATACAGAAAAAAATTGTAGCATTTCAAATATATGGCATTATATGTGGGAAAAACGTTTGAAAAATATATTTAAAAATATATTCTTCCATGTGGGAGCCCCACTCCGGAACCGCTCCAGAACTGCTTCGGAACTGCTCCGGATCCAGAACCGCTCCAGAACTGCTCCGGATCCGCTCCAGAACTGCTTCGGAACTGCTGCAGAACTCCAGAACTGCTCCGGATCCACTCCAGAACTGCTTCGGAACAGCTCCAGAACTGCTCTCCAGAACCGCTCCGGATCCGCTCCAGAACTGCTTCGGAACTGCTCCAGAACTGCTCCGGATCCAGAACCGCTCCAGAACTGCTTCCGGATCAGCTCCAGAACTGCTCTGGATCCACCCCAGAACGCTCCAGAACTGCTCGGATCCGCTCCAGAACTGGCTTCGGATCCGCTCCAGAAACTCCGGATCTCCAGAACACCCTGAAGCTTGAAATGTTGTAGCCAGATTGGCGCCTTTCGGAGGCAGCAGACAGTAGAAGCGCCTAGCAACAAATGATGTAACAGATGACAGTCTTCCCTATTGGCTGATACAAATACGCTGCAAGACAGAACACAGAGCCGCAGAAACGCGACGCACACGGAGGGAACATTTCCAGAAACGCTGAAGCCGGGAAAACACATTTATATTTCTGGAAAAAAAAACTGGAAATTTTCTGAAAAATTGAAAACATAAATTCAGTGCGGAGAAGGTTTACAAACTGAAAAGAGGCGACGAAGGAATGTCTTCCCGGCCAGCCTGGCGGTCTGCATGAGAGCCGAGGACGCGGGGATCCAACACGGGACAAATGACAATCTGTGTTTTGCTTCGTTTCTCTCGAGGAGTTACATTCGTTGTTTGTTTTTCGGAATTCGTTTTGTTTATTCAAATTCAACTGAATTCCAAATTCAAAAATAATTCCAACGGGCTGCAAAATACTTCTCACAATCCACGATCCAGGATCCTTGTCTGTCATTGGTGGTAGGCGGCGATAGGAGGAGTTGTGCCACCAGATTGGAAATTTCTGTTTCAGCAAAACTTTCACAGTGCCTTTGTTGTCCACGAATCACGTCACGTATCACAGCTCACAATTTGTTGTGAAGTATTTTAGTATTTTCTAATCTATTCTATTCTTTTCTATTCTAATGTATTCTGTTCAAAATCCGAATTTCGGAAGGCAGTAATATTCTATTTTATTCTATTGTTTTTCTATACTATCCTATTCAATTCTTTGATTCTCTATTCTAATCTATTCTAAATGTTTGATTTTCTCTTCTATTCTGATTGATTCTTTTCTATTCCTTTATTTTCTATTCTATTTTGTTCTGTTTTACTCTGTTATTTTCTACTGTATTCTGTTCTATTCTTTTATTTTCTATTGTATTCTTTTCTATTCATTTCTATAATTTTTATATTCTATTCTAATGTATTCTGTTCAAATTCATTCTATTCGAAATTCAAATTTCGGAAAGCAGTAATAGTCTATTTTATTCTATTGTTTTTCTATACTATCCTATTCAATTGTTTGATTCTCTATGCCAATCTATTCTATTTTTTTTCTATTCTAATGTTTGATTTTCTCTTCCATTCTAATTGATTCTATTCTATTCCTTTATTTTCTATTCTATGTTGTTCTGTTTTACTCTGTTATTTTCTACTTTATTCTGTTCTATTTTCTATTCTGCTCTTTTTTCTCTGTTCTTTTCTATTCTCTATTCGCAGTCTCCGCTCTAATTCATCCCAAAGGTGTTCTATGGGGTTGAGGTCAGGACTCTGTGCAGGACAGTCAAGTCCCTCCACCCCAAACTGGCTCCTCCATGTCTTTATGGACCTTGCTTTGTGCACTGGTGGGCAGTCATGTTGGAACAGGAAGGGGCCATCCCCAAACTCCTCCCACAAAGTTGGGGGCATGAAATTGTCCAAAATGTCACCTTATTGGAACTAGGGGGCCAAGCCCAACCCCTGAAAAACAAACCCCACACCATAATCCCCCTCCACCAAACTGTACACTTGGCACAATGCAGTCAGGCAAGTATTGTTCTCCTGGCCACCGCCAAACCCAGATACGTCCATTGGATTGCAAGACAGAGAAGCGTGATTGGTCACTCCAGAGAACACGTCTCCTCTGCTCTAGAGTCCAGTGGCAGCGTGCTTTACACCACAGCATCTGACGCTTTGCATTGCACTTGGTGATGGAAGGCTTGGATGCAGCTGCTCGGCCATGGAAACCCATTCCATGAAGCTCTCTACGCACTGTTGTTGGGCTCATCTGAGGGCCACACCAAGTTTGGAGGTCTTTAGCTACTTGATTGGGAGGGGATTGAAGCACCTGAATCACATGATATGGAGGGGATTGGAACACCTGAATCACATGATTGGGAGGGGATTGGAACACCTGAATCACATGATATGGAGGGGATTGGAACACCTGAATCACATGATACGGAGGGGATTGGAACACCTGAATCACATGATATGGAGGGGATTGGAACACCTGAATCACATGATACGGAGGGGATTGGAACACCTGAATCACATGATACGGAGGGGATTGGAACACCTGAATCACATGATACGGAGGGGATTGGAACACCTGAATCACATGATATGGAGGGGATTGGAACACCTGAATCACATGATATGGAGGGGATTGGAACACCTGAATCACATGATACGGAGGGGATTGGAACACCTGAATCACATGATACGGAGGGGATTGGAACACCTGAATCACATGATACGGAGGGGATTGGAACACCTGAATCACATGACAGGGGATTGATGAATCACATGGAGGGGATTGGAACACCTGAATCACATGATATGAAGGGGATTGGAACATGAATACATGATACGGAGGGGATTGGAATACCTGAATCACATGATACGGAGGGGATTGGAACACCTGAATCACATGATACGGAGGGGATTGGAATACCTGAATCACATGATACGGAGGGGATTGGAATACCTGAATCACATGATATAGGAGGGGATTGGAACACCTATGAAGGGGATTGGAACACCTGAATCACATGATACGGAGGGGATTGGAATACCTGAATCACATGATATGGAGGGGATTGGAATACCTGAATCACATGATATAGAGGGGATTGGAATACCTGAATCACATGATATGAGGTTGGGGGACAATACTTTGGCAATAGGGTGTATTTCATTGCACCACCACCAGGTGTACTCTCACCTTAGTGTTCAGTCTGTAAGCACTACACAGTGGCTGAGTGGTTAGCACTTCCCCCTGGCAGTATTCGGGTCATTGGTTTAAATCCCAACCACGGCACCACCTGCATGGAGTTTGTATGTTCTCCCTGTGCCCACGTGGGTTTTCTCTGGGTACTCCAGTTTCCTCCCACACTCCAAAGACATGCTAGTAGGTGAATCGTCCCTAGTATGTGTATGTATGAATGTGAGTTAGGGACTAGAGATGAGCGAATTATTCAAAAATTCGATTCGGCTGATTCGCCGAATTTGCGGGAGAAATTTGATTCGAGTCGAATATATTCGCTGCGAATTTAACTTATTAAAAGGGTTTCTAGGCTTCAGAGAGCCTTTATATTAGTGCTGAACACTGTACCTTTAATTTAAATGCCCTTGGAGTCTGCTGGGGAAGAGAAATAATACTGACAGTCAGTATGACATGCAGATGAGTGCCGTCCATCTTAGAATCACCGCACACTTCACTCATTTGGGCAGTCACGGGGCACGACGAAGAAGATGAAGAAGAAGATGAAGAATGAAAAGAAGAATGAGAAGAATGAAAAGAAGAAGAAGAATGAAAAGAAGAAGATGAAGAAAAGAAGAATGAAAATGAAAAGAAGAATGAAAAGAATAAAAAGAAGAAGAAGAATGAAAAGAAGAGAAGAGAATGAAAAGAAGAAGAAGAATGAAAAGAAGAAGAAGAAGAATGAAAAGAAGAATGAAAGAATGAAAAGAAGAATGAAAAGAAGAATGAAGAAGAAGAAGAAGAAGAAATGAAGAATGAATAGAAGAATGAGAAGAATGAAAAGAAGAAGAAGAATGAATGAAAAGAAGAAGAAGAATGAAAGAAGAAGAAGAATGAAAAGAAGAATGAGAAGAATGAAAGAAGAAGAAGAAGTATGAAAAAGAAGAAGAAAAGAAGAAGAATGAAAAAGAAGAAGAAGAATGAAAAGAAGAAGAAAGAATGAAAAGAAGAAAGAAGATTGAAAAGAAGAATGAAGAATATTAAGAATGAAAAGAAGAAGAAGAAGAATGGATGAAGAAGAATGAAAAGAAGAGTTAAACCCCCTAACACCTGCTGTGCCCATTGTGAGGGGTTCCCACCATCCCTGTGCTGAGGTTCTGGGTATGCACACCTGCTGTGCCCATTATGAAGGAGGTAATCCTGGAACAAAAATCCCTGTGGTGAGGTTCCAGAAGAAGAACACCTGAAAGAAGAAGAAGATTATGAGAAGTTCCCAAAGAAGAAGAATGTGCTGAGTTGAAAAGAAGAATGGAAGAATCTGAAGAAGACACCTGACTCTGAAGATTAGGAGGAGTTCCCACCATCCCTGTGCTAAATTCCTGGGTCTGTACACCTGCTGTTTCCCAATGAAAATGAGGGGTTTCTACCATCCCTGTGCTGAGGAAAAGTCCCAGGTCTGCACACCTGCTGAATGCCCATTACTAGAAGGAAGAAATCCCAAAGAAGAAGAAGAATCCCTGTGAAGAAGAATGAGGAAGAAGAATCTGGAATGTATGCACACCTGCTGTGCTCATTATGAGGGGTTCCCACCATCCCTGTGCTGAATTCCTGGGTCTGTATGTACACCTGAAGATGTGTCCATTGTGAAGGAAGATTCCCACCCATTCCTGCACTGAGTACCTGAGAAGAATCTGTACACCTGAGAAAAGAAAGTTTCAGGAAGAATGAAGAAGAGAAAATGACAGTAGATACTGGAACAAAAATGAGAATGCGTGGAATGGAGTTGAAAGAAGAAGAAAAGAAGAAGAATGAAAAGAAGATTGAAAAAGAATGAAAAGAATGAAAAGAAGAAGAAAAAGAAAAGAAAAGAAGAATGAAAAGAAGAAGAAGAAATGAAAAAGAAGAATGAGAAGAATGAAAAAGAAGAATGAGAAGAATGAAAAGAAGAATGAAAAGAAGAAGAAGAAGAATGAAAAGAAGAAAGAAGAAGAATGAAAAGAAGAAGAATGAAAAGAAGAATGAGAAGAATGAAAAGAAGAAGAAGAATGAAAAGAAGAAGACGAATGAAAAGAAGAATGAGAAGAAGAATGAAAAGAAGAATGAAAAGAAAAGAAGAAGAAGAAGAAGAAGAAGAAGAATGAAAAGAAGAAGAAGAAGAATGAAAAGAAGAAGAATGAAAAGAATGAAAAGAAGAAGAAGAATGAAAAGAAGAAAAAGAAGAAGAATGAAAAGAAGAAGAAGAATATGAAAAGAAGAAGAGAAGAATGAAAAGAAGAATGAAAATAAGAAGTAAGAATTCCAGTCAGCGAAAAAGTGTCCCTGCAGAGAGCTCCGCTATTTCTGACAGTTCTCTGACAGTTCCTTCACATTTACAGCGGTTGAAACATTGTATCTATTTGTTTCCAATTTAGGATACAGATGTTTTTAAATCGGAAACAAATAGATACAATGTTTCAACCGCTGTAAATGTGAAGGAACTGTCAGAGAACTGTCAGAAATAGCGGAGCTCTCTGCAGGGACACTTTTTGCCGGCTGATCGGGGAAAAAATCCGATTCGCGCACCCGAAGTTGGCTAATATTCGGATTCGGCACGAATCGAATTTTTCCTGAAATTTGAAACGAATTCCACTTCGCCTGGTTCGATTCGCTCATCTCTATTAGGGACCTTAGATTGTACGCTCCTCGGGGGCGGGGCCTGATGTGACTGTACAATATATATGTAAAGTTCTGTGTACAGTTGCAAGAAAAAGTATGTGAACCCCTTGGGATTACATGGAGTTTTGCATGAATTGGGCATAAAACGTGTGCTCTGAACGTCATCTAAGTCACAACAATAGAAGAACACAGTCTGCTGAACATAATACTACACAAACATTAGATGTTGCCATGGTTTCATTGCACATAACATGTAAACATTCACAGTGCAGGGAGGAAAAAGTATGTGAGGCCCTAGCTTAATGACTTCTCCCAGAGCTGATTGGAGCCAGGAGTGAGCCAACCTTGACTCCAATCAGTGTGATGATATTGGATGTGTTGCTGACACCTGTTTTGGGTTTAGTGGTTTCAAGAAGCACTGTCTGATGTGAACCATGCCCTCGCAGAAAAGAGCTCTCAGAAGACCTACCATCAAGAATTGTTGACTTGCATGAAGCTGGAAAGGGTTACAAAAGTATCTCCTTGAGCCTTGATGTTCCTGTGTCCACGGTAAGACAGACTGTCTACAAATGGAGAAAGTTTAGCACTGTTGCTACTCTCCCTAGGCGTGGTCGTCCTGTAAAAATGACTGCAAGAGCACAGCGCAGAATGCTGCATGAGGTAAAGAAGAATCCCAGAGTGTCAGCTAAAGACCTACAGAAATCTCTGGCACATGCTAACATTTTGTTGACACATCTACAATCAGGAAAACATTAAACCAGAATGGAGTACATGGGAGGACACCACGGAGGAAGCCATTGCTGGCCAAAAAGAAGATTGCAGCACGTTTGAAGTTTGTAAAAGAGCCCCTGGATGTTCCACAGCACTACTGGCAGAATATACTGAGGACAGATGACACCAAGATTGAGTTGTTTGGGAAGAACACACAACACTATGTGTGGAGAAAAAAAAGGCCCAGCACACCAACATCAAAACCTCATCCCCACTGTGAAACATGGCGGAGGGAGCATCATGGTTTGGGGCTGCTTTGCTGCCTCAGGGCTGGACGGATTGTTGTCATTGATGGGAAAATGAATTCCAGAGTTTATCAAGACATTTGGCAGGAAAACGTACGACCATCTGTCCGCCAACTGAAGCTCCGCAGAGGATGGGTGATGCAACAGGACAATGATGACCCAAAGCATACAAGTCATTCAACAAAACAATGGCTGCAACAGCACAGAATACGCCTTCTGGAGTGGCCCAGTCAGAGTCCTGACCTCAACCCCATTGAAATGCTGTGGCATGACCTTAAGAGAGCGATTCACACCAGACATCCCAAGAATATTGCTACACTGAAACAGTTTTGTGAAGAGGAGTGGTCCAAAATGACTCCAGATCGTTGTGCAGGTCTGATCTGCAACTACAGGAAACGTTTGGTTGAGGTTATTGCTGCCAAAGGAGGGTCAACCAGTTATTAAGTCCAAAGGTTCACATACTTTTTCCTCCCTGCACTGTGAATGTTTACATGTTATGTGCAATGAAACCATGGCAACATCTAATGTTTGTGTAGTATTATGTTCAGCAGACTGTGTTCTTCTATTGTTGTGACTTAGATGACGTTCAGAGCACATTTTATGCCCAATTCATGCAAAACTCCACGTAATCCCAAGGGGTTCACATACTTTTTCTTGCAACTGTAAGTTGATGACTCTATATAAGCGTCGGAAATAAATAAGGACTATGTGTCCCTATAACGGGACCGGCTCTCCTTTCCACCCGGGGCCACAGCTTCAACCTCCTCCAACAAACTGCATTGCCTGCAAAGAAATACTCTGACCAGTTCTCAGATGTAGGAGGTGCTGAGCCAAATATTCAGCCTGTAGAACACGTGGAACCTCTCCAGGGACTTTTGGAATCTCTCCAGGAACACACGTGGAACCTCTCCAGGAATTCGTGGAACCTCTCCAGGAACTCGTGAAACCTCTCCAGGAACTCGTGGAACCTCTCCAGGAACACGCACGGTACCTCTCCAGAAACACACATGGAACCTCACCAGGAACTCGTGGAACCTCTCCAGGAACACGCATGGTACCTCTCCAGGATCACGCACGGAACCTCTCCAGGAACACTCGTGGAACCTCTCCAGGAACACGTGGAACCTCTCCAGGAACTCGTGGAACCTCTCCAGGAACACGCACGGTACCTCTCCAGGAACACGCACGGTACTTCTCCAGGAACACACGTGGAACCTCACCAGGAACACGCACGGTACCTCTCCAGGAACACGTGTGGAACCTCTCCAGGAACACACACGGAACCTCTCCTAGAACACACGCGGAACCTCTTCAGGAACACACGTGGAACCTCTCCAGGAATTCGTGGAATCTCTCCGGGAACACTCGTGGAACCTCTCCAGGAATTCGTGGAACCTCTCCGGGAACACGCGCAGTACCTCTCCGGGAACACGCACGGAACCTCTCCAGGAACACTCGTGGAACCTCTCCAGGAACACGTGGAACCTCTCCGGGAACACGCGCAGTACCTCTCCCGGGAACACGCACGGAACCTCTCCAGGAACACTCGTGGAACCTCTCCAGGAACACGTGGAACCTCTCCGGGAACATGCGCGGGTACCTTTCCAGGGTGAGGCTGTGCAATGTCAGGCCACGTGCAGCATTCCGTAAGGACGTAGTGACATCATCCAAGCCCCGCCCCCAGGAACGCTGGAAATTTTCATTTCAGACGTATTTGGTCATCGAAGAATTTCATTTCCCATCTTCAGCATTTGTTTTGTACATTCGTTGTTCCGGCTGAATTTACAAAATGTCACATTGTTTTCCGGAAGATTTCTATCTTTTCGATATATTTTGAATCAGAAGGATTTATATTTTCAGGTGCTAGTCCAGCCCACCAAGTGAAATGGCGTGATGTGATTGGACGATATCGGCTGGCATCTTCTGCATCCGAATGAACAAAAAGGAACAAAATTCACATCCATTCGTTATCCGACTTTCGGCCCCTAAAGCGCTCGGCGTGAATTCATCCGAAGAACGATTTATTCCGGACATCGAAGTGAACGAACGCTGAAGTGCTGAACGCTCCGGCGGCGTTATGTGCGTTACATGCGTACAAAATGTCCCTGCTCGGGGGGGGGGGGGGGCCTCCGGGGGAGGGGGGGGCTCCGGGGGATGGGGGGGGGCTCCAGGGGATGAGGGGGGGCTCCGGGGGATCTTCTCTGAAAAAAAAAGAGAAATTCCAGACGCCCCGGGAGCCCCAGAGACCTCCAGTGTGCCTGAGGACCGACTGTTCATCAATGCGGACTGATGTGCCGGGGTGTCTGCAATCACACATGGAGTTCACAAAATAAAAACAATGTATCATCCTCATCATCAATGTGTCATCCTCATCCTCATACAATGTATCATTAGACAATGTGTCATCATCATCGGATAATGTGTCATCCTCATCATTAATGTGTCATCCTCATACAATGTATCATCATCATACAATGTGTCATCCTCATCAGACAATGTATCATCCTCATCCTCATACAATGTATCATCATCATCAGACAATGTATCATCCTCATCAGACAATGTATCATCCTCATCATACAATGTATCATCATCATACAATGTATCATCCTCATATCAATGTATCATCATCAGACAATGTATCATCATCAGATACAATGTATCATCATCATCAGACAATGTATCATCCTCATCCTCATACAATGTATCATCATCCTCATCATCAGACAATGTATCATCCTCATCCTCATACAATGTATCATCATCAGACAATGTATCATCATCAGACAATGTATCATCCTCATCATCATACAATGTATCATCATCAGACAATGTATCATCATCATACAATGTATCATCCTCATCATCTCATACAATGTATCATCCTCATCCGCATACAATGTATCATCATCAGACTCATCCTCATACAATGTATCATCCTCATCCTCATACAATGTATCATCCTCAGACACAGGCTGTATCAGTTTCTGGTTCACTTTGTATCTCAGAACTCTTCCATGGGGGAGGATTC